TGACTTACGACTAAAGGCTTGACGAATTGCAAGAATTTCATGAGCAATAATTTTTCCAAATTGACCATCATCAACTCCTAAAATAATCTTTCATTGAAAATAAATTCAAAAGAAATGGAAATATTTTACCATCTCGATAAAAGACGATTTTATTTGGTAAAATTTTATTTGCTTGTCGATAATAATCTAATAATTGGGTGTGGGTGCAGATAAAAACAAGATGCACACCCACACCCCCCGGGTCCAAAAACGACTTGCTGGACCTGGACAAAGAAATATCAACCGTTCTATCATTTTTTGTGCTAATACGTTATTCAAACGTTCATTTTGTAGGACAACACTTTTTCGTTCACCTCATCTATTTAGAAAAGCATTAGAGTTCATGATAGTCAAAAGTTTTTAAAAGAAAAATTTCGGGTCTGAACTTTCCGGGTCCGAGCGGGTCCAAGTTTGGACCCGGACTTTTTCTATTAAAAAATTTCGGCTACGAAGGACTCTAATGTTTCTCTAAATAGATGAGGTGAAAGAGAAAATGTTGCCCTACAAACTGAACGTTCGAATAACGTATTAGCACAAAAAATGATGAAACGGTTGACATTTCTTTGTCCGGGTCCAGCAAGTCATTTTTGGGCCCGGTGAAGGGCTCTACACCCCACCCACCATCCACACCCTTTTTACCTCAGAATTACCACCAACCATAATCAACCATAGCCAAGTCGACGATAGGCAATCACAAGCAGCTGATCACAATCATGAACATGATTCTAATATTGATTCAAACTTAACTACTCAAAACCTAATAACACACCAACCATCCGAAGGTGCGACTGGAACAAATTACACTACAAGTATACAGCCAAACTCTATCTTCATAAGAAACTTCGCACAATAGTATATTATGTGTATTATTTGTTTGAAAGTTTTCTCATAAAACTTTTATCGATCATATTGCATAGTAGGAGATATATATTTTTCTAACAAGCAATTGATAAGTAATTACTTTAGCGGTAATCGAAACACGTGTCTTGCTGGGTTTTTGATTGATTTTTATAATCATTCTATATCATACACACCCACACCCACATCCACTTTGATATAATATCAATCTCATTACTTTTGGTATGCCCTAAGTATGATAAAGTCTAGAAACGGACCAGGATGGGACTTAAAACTCAGCTTTCATAGAACCTAGAAACGACCTACGGTGAAATCCAAAAATCGACTAGGATAGGACCTAAAAACAAGGTCCGATAGGATTCGAAAATCATCTCTGAGAGGGTCTCTAATAAGATCTAGAAACGAATCAGGATAGGATCTAAAATCAGCTTTTATATATACCTGAAAACCCAGCTCTGATAGGGCCTTAAAATTCAGTTACAAGTCAAAAAATCCGAAAATATAGAAGCAATCGAAAATCCGTCGTCTCCTTGGAGATTTTTCTCCTTTGAATGAATAACATCTTTTCCGATTTTGGATTGATCGAAAAAGTGGTTTAAAAAAACCACAATTAACATCCGACACATAATCGTATTAAAAACGTGTTTTAGACAGACAGGCATTGTCGTTTTAATTCACGTTTCCAGATCCTAGTCTTTCAGCCTAGGGAAAAATTCAACAATCATCTCAAATCTTTTTTAATATTAAATAGGTTTCACAAAAAAAAATATCAAATTGATTCGAATATTTTTTTACTTTTCGTTCGTACATATTCCAAAATTCATCTAACAATTGTTCGATCTCATCTCTTGAACGATGTTCATTCTTTTCCAATACTTCGCGCAATGACGGTTCGGACCAACTACGCATAAATTGTGTTCGATCTTTTGCAAATTCATCTAATGTTAATTCATCTTGTTGAAATCGTAGAAATATATTTGTTTTAACTTCATATATTTTCGCTTTGATTAATTTGAATGAAAATTTTTCGAATAGATCATTATCAATACATTCAGAATAGCTACGAAAATATAATGGTATTGTATAATTGTATAACTCTTCTTCTGTAAGTAATAATAATTTTGCACATTTATATAAAAGTTTATGGGCAATTTCAACTCCATGTAATCCTTGTTCATTTACACAAGATAGACACATGATGAATACACCACCTCGAATCAGTTCATTCGAACGATGTTTCAAAAAGTTCGAATAATCAATACGAGCTTGTTCTTTAAATTGATTATATTCATTATTCGAACTAAATAAAGAAATACAATGATTCGATATATTACATGGTTTACAGGATAACCACTGAATCGATGTTGACGAGTAACCGACTGTCAGTGAATTCGATGGTAGACATTGTTCATAAAATGATCGACCATTTGCCAAACCGTAATAACTACAATCTTTATTAAGTAGATCGAAAACTATTTTCCAATCATTTGTTGGCAAATCATTATGAACGATGAGAAATGAGCATTGTTCATTTTTCGACTGTTGAATATATTCAATGATTTTTTTCATAGCATACATTGAATTCAAACCATGTGATGAACCAAAATCAGCAATGATCAATGGTTGTGTCGATGGTGAAAGATCGAGAACATCAGTTGCTTGTTGAATGAATGGCAATGAAAGTTCAACTGCATGCATTTGTATATCGGAATTCGAATTGTAACAATTGGCCATACCTTTTATTCCGTCTGACATTGTTGTAACTTGTTTTTGAAGTTAAGTGAATGATAAGCAATGTAGCAGTTTTTCTTTTGCCTTTATCTAGTTAAAGGTTGCAAGTGAAGGAAGGAGAAAAACTAATGTTGTTTCTTTTTCTCTTATGAAGAACGCGTGGACCGATATGGCATTTTTGTTTCACTCTCGACGATGTGGCTGTGGGTATGGATCTCATTTTCATTGACATCCACACCCACACCCTTCTTTCCAAAGACGCGTGTCTTTTCATTAAGAAAAAGCTTGACAATTTATTTAAAGTTCATCTAATGTATAAAGAAGAAAGTTTGATTAATAAACGATTAAATAAAATTTTGTATGATCGAAATTTTACAAGTCATTTCGGTTTACTGACATTTTCGTTGAATGATTCTGTTTATCGATAACCTTCTCTAATACTTGAGAGATTTTCTTTTACAAACTTTACCTAAAATTCATCATAATATCAAATGGTTTAATGTTGAATCATCAGGGTGTGGGTGTGGGGTGGGGTGGATATGGGTGTGTGGGGTGTTGGTGTGAGTGTGGGTATGGGTGAATAAATGACACTAGGTTCACAACACACCCACATCCACACTAGGGGTGCACCAAATCCTATTTTTCTATATAAAGATTACAAATTTTCAGTATGAAGACCCACCAAATCCAACCAAATATTTGTGTTGATTATAACCAGTTTTATTTGCTCTACTCGATAATGGTGTAAAATGACCAAGTCTATCCAGGACACTTCTAAGAGTTGGTAGGACTTGGTAAAAACTGTCATATTTCCACCAAACCTTACCAAATCTTAGAAGTGTCTTGGATTTGGTCATTTTACACCATTATCGAGTAGAGCAAATAAAACTGGTTATAATCATGTTATGTTCGAAGTGTTCCCCTTCGAACATAAGACGGAACGAAACGAATAACACACGCTCCTTTCTAGTATAGTGGTAGTACAGCTGCCCGGAAAGCAGAAGACGTTGGTTCGATCCCATCGGAAGGAGATTACTCTTTTGTTCCGTTCTGTTGTCATACCATCACGTTGCTATCTCGGTGATAACAAAGAAAGAAAAAGAGACGACATAACAAATCAACATAAAGATTTGGTTGAATTTGATGGCTCTTCATACTGAAAACTTGTAATCTTTACATAGAAAAATAGGATTTGGTGCATCCTTAACCCACACCCACACCCACCCTCTCGTCTATGGACAATATTCATTGATCAAACAGAATTACGAGCATGAAAATAACCACTTAAGTAAACCTGTTCGAGAAACATCAAAATATTTTACTCAATCTAAGTTATTAATAGTATTTGCTAAAATTTCATTCTCTTCTAGAACTGCTCAACAAGAAGAACTTGCTCGCCGCGTTCGTTTTCCACGTCATATCAATCCTGATGGTCTTGTGAGGCCATATATTGCTCATGAAACGGTGGGGGTTTTATATTCTAAATGTAATATTAATCTTTTCCATTGATCCTTTCAATTCTTACCTTTTTCGTAATAAATTTTTAGCGATTAGAAGATGGTAATATTGTGAAGAAAGAGACGTACGTTGCTCACATAATTTGTTCAGAATATCCACTATGTTGGTTAATGGCTACTTCGAAGTAAAATAAAATTATATATTTTAATTCTTTGTTCGATTTTCAATATTTTTAGGAGTTTATTATTTACTATTGAGATGTCAATTCTTGATTTATATAAAATTGATTGGCAACTTGTATATGAAGAGTTAAACGAAGCGCTGAGTATAAACATAAGTACAGGTCAAATCCATATTTTACCAAAAGCAAGTACGAGAAAGAAACGAGCAACTCAACTAAAATGCTCAATGAGGATAGTAATATATAGATTTGTTATCTCTAGTTGATTCAATAACAGTGAAATGTTAATTGAGTTTATTTTTACTTTTTAGGAACCAAAGACAACTCGAGCAGTTCCAAAATTAGTTAAATATTGAACTGTTTCTAAATCCAAAGTATTATAATTGATTACTTTTTTGATTATTTTCATACGAATGTTATTGAATTTATGATACAAAATAAATCTGTTTGATATGTTCGAATCAATAGTAAAGGCAGGATCTACTAGATGTAGATGTGTATTTCATTTCTTCCTCGGCAATGAAGATCCTGAAAAGCCTGTATTTACTATTGGTACAAATAAATAATTCATTTATATTAACTGTGACATTTATTTTAGTACATGGTTGACAAAATTACGAGTGGGATGCATGTCATGGGACGTTAGAAACTTTGGTTCTATGCCTATATTCGACAAGTGTAAAGATTTACTTCTTTTTTCTTAAGCACAATTTTTTAGAACCAATTAACAAAAACTTTGATTTATATTTGTGTCAATCTTTTGGTACTAATGTATCTCTATGATTGATTTTATCTTGCGTATATTATTTTTTAACTATTTTTCTTTCGGAAAATAAATGATTTTATATTTCAAGTAATAGAATGAAACTATTTATGAGATAATTACTTTTTTTACTCTCTATGAAAAAAAGTTTATGATTTTATGTAGTGTGTAGATGCTACTATCGATTATTTAAACTACTCATTATGGGCACAAAGTGTACTTTCTTATAGAAATTTCTCCATGCTTATATTTAGTTATTTCATGCATCTACATTCATACACTTTTACTCAGAGTAAAAATACAAAATTTGGAGAAGGGTGTGGTTATGACTAAAGATGAACGAGACACCCGCAGCCATATCCACAGTCTTTGCTGTTTTCAGCTGATAATTTTTCAAAGATATTTCTAAAGTTTACTGACTTAAAATAACTGCTAAGATAACGCTGATTTTGCAGTGGTTTGATTTTCCTTGCTGATTCGATTGTGTTATTTTCATACGTCAAAAAAACTACTATATGTTGTCCTTTTCTCTTCGAGTTTATTTAAAATGAATTGTAATATCACGTTTAAAATATATATTTCGATGTAAATGAAAGTATGTATTTATGCAGTTATGTCACCACGGTCAACCCAAAAACCAAATGCCATTAGCTTTGTGTGTTGTTTATCGCGTAGTATTTCCTCATAAAAAAATATATTCTTTAATTTTGATAATTCTTCTTTAACTTTGCTGAAAGTATCGCTATTCACTGACTGATAAAAATTAATGTTCAATGCCGATAATTTAGGTAAATTATTTAATAAGAATAAACATGAATCGGATTGTGTCATAGGACAAGTCATTTGTTCAACGTTTGGAAATACTTTGTGAATTGAACTCACATCATGCGGTTTGTGACATGGATTTGGCTGAAAATATACACAGAACTGTAATTTTTTAATCATTTCACTAGTATATCGACATATTTCCTTATTAGTTTTCAATATATCTATAGCACAATTGTAAATATTGAGGGATGATAAGTGTGGTGCTTCTTTGAGAATTTCTAACAGAATTGTTGGTCTATTTGTTTGAGAACATAATGGAATTTCTAAATGTTTTAAATTTGACAAATTCATTGTTCTTTTCAGGGATCTGATGAATCTTTGCTCATCACCTTCATTAGCAAGTACAGGTAAAGAGTGAAAAACCAACGATGTAATATTAGGAAAATAAAAGCCACTCGATGTCATCAGTTCTTCACCGAGTGAATGTAAATCTGTAACATTATCGAACGTCTTTGAATTGTCAACTAGTGTATTAAAGTGTCGAACATATTTTAACCACATCGGTCTTATGTCATTTAGATAAGGAACTGTAAAAATACATGATACAATTTGGTCTCCTAATAAACATTCAGTATACCATTGATGTTCTTTGATCCAAAAATCACTTTGAAAATCTTCATACTTTCTAACTATTTCATGTCGATCAAAAGTACCAAACCTAAATCGAAATACAGTTAAATATGGTAATGAAGATGTGATTAGCTGTTTCCAACGAGAAGCATTGATTATATCGGAATTTTCATATACAGAGACTGTTAAACTTCGTAAGTTGATCATATGTGCAATGATATCCATCAAATTATCAGTATTAACCATACAATCAGTCAAAATTAGATATTTTAGATGATTAACACGGCCATGAAGACGACTTATGTCAGCAGATGATACTGGATCAAATTGGAGACCTCTTGAAATATTTAGAGATTGTAATAATGGCATATGTAGCAACATTTGATATATTGGATTCAACATACCAAACGTTACGGACAACTTTGTAAGTGGTATGACTTCTTGAGATAATAACGTAGAACTTATTGACAATGTGTTTGGTTTGCATTTTGGAAGTTTATAGAGGAGTTTATCGAAAACCGCTAAAGAAGGAATCAATCGAAGGCACGTTAGTTGTGAGAGTAATGGTAATATTGATGATAATTGCTCTATATTATTCTCTTTAATCTCAATCAAAGTTAATGATCGAAGTCGAGTGAAATCAACCAATGAGAAATATGTGAAGAATGCCTGAATTTGACCATGTGTTTTTTCATTTGATAGTTTTAATGAATAGATTTGTTGTTGAATTTCTGTATAATCTAATATTTTCTCACAAAATCGATCAAAGATTGATTTATGAATATCTTCAAAATTGAGACGCAATGGAATGGACCGAATCAATCGATAAAATCGAGGATTTAATTGTTCGAATGAGTAGAATATATCTGGTGCATTGAGATATTCAAAACAATGTATGAATATGTCATTTGGTAAACTTTCAAATTTCATAATGATTTGTTTGTCACTCATGACAAAATAATTCATGCAAATGTTTTCAAACGATGCTACTCTCTGTTTTATTACCTTAGATAATAAATTGTATTATGAGAAGATATAAGAGCACATGTGTTTTTATCTTCATATCATATTTTCTTTTCTTTTGAAGAAAAAATATGCAAAAAAACAAATCTAGAGTAGTTCTGTTCTTGGCAAATAACACATTATAACAACCAATGATACATCGCAAGGATAGAGTTCGCGAGTCTACAATCAATTTCATTGAATTATATCATTGGTATCACATTTTAAAAATCCTAGTAAATATACTCAATTGACTTCGAATTCTAATGTTGTATTGAACTGAAAAAAGGCATAACTTTCTTTTCATCGCATGAATGAAATAAAAAATAATTGTGCAATCGATCAAAACATGTAGCAGGACCATGTTTAATGAAACTAGAATCGATCAGTTCATATACAGAAAACCTTTGCAGTATACTTTATGAAAATTATATTACGTATAGGTATTTCTTCAACTTCAAAGATCATATTAGATGGAAGTGTTTCTTCTTCAAACAAACGAACGAATCTTTCAAAATCTTCGAATGTTGAAATAACAACTTCGATCATTGATAAAAATGGTAAATTAGTGAACAGATGCAACAAATGTTTTCGTTCGGACATCTCGTATCTGAATTCTTCAAGGCTGAAAAATACTTCACAAAATAATCGTACTTCATCTAATGTACTGAATGTATAGCATTCATACGAGAACTTTTTAATCGTTTTATTTAAATATTTACATAACTGTTTATTATTAAAGAGTAATTCCAAACTGGAGAAACTTCAAGACAATGATGATGATCGAGGTATACTCTTCAGAATTCCAAGTAACACAGATGCGATATATTTTCTACCAGATCCTGTAACATGTTAATATGCTCAACATATGACAGATTAACTACTAAAAACAGAAACCTCAATACTTGCTGTCTTTTTAAAATATCAAAACTTCCAAAATTCCCAGGCAAGCAAAGGACAGGTAAAAAGACTAGCTCTTTTTCTAGTCATGACTATATGTCAAGTCTGGTGTTTTTCTCAAAAAGTCCTATTACAGGACCAGCGTGAAATTTGCAAAAGGATTAGACATGTTGTGCCGTCCGGATCCTCGTCCAAAATAGATTTTAAATCAAAAAAGGAAGGGCGTCTGTGATGCTGCATGTAACAGATTATGGCCTTATGTGGTGGTCTAGTCTGGACTAGACTAAACAATAGAAATATAGGCGGAAGGTTAGATTTGAATGTGCATACAATATATAACTTATCCATCATTTAATCGATTGAACTAAATGATCGATTGATCAACCCCTATATGTCGACACACATTCTAAGATGCTATTTAACCCTTTGAGAACGGTGGGACATACGTTGTCTCAACTATTTTTCAGTAGAGAAAAAAATGCATAGTTCATACTAAACTGTTAAATATTCAAGGTTACTGAGGTCATAGACAATCATATTTGTCATCTTACGCTTTTCTTTCCTTTCTTTCTGTCTCTCATATATATTCCTTTCAAATATCCTTTTTTCTTGCAGCTACAGTATAATGACGTCATGATTTCTCTCTCTTTCTCTGATTTTTTTTCAAGAACATTCTCATCCTTTATCGGATATATATATTCTCGTTCTTATCGACGAATTTACATCATTCTTGAATTTACAAAGCGCATCATTTCTTTACACAATTTTTATAATTAAATCTAAACAAATGAAACTCTAGAGTGGTGAGGGTGTGGGTATGAGGCAAAGTCCATTTTCGCTCACAGCTAATTAACAGTGTGAATATCAAAAAGTACGCACGCGTTAATTCTCAAATGGCTTTCACAGCTCTGATCATTCGATGCTTATTTTGATACAAGTGCGCTAAATATTATTTTCGAACAAAATAACTTAAAAATGATCACCGGAGTAAGATCTAAAAATACTAAAAGTCTCGTCGAAATCAAAGATTATAACGGAAAATATAATACAGATCCTATGAAGCAACAAGGATTCATTTTGAAAACTTGATATGCACGCGGCATTAGTAGTCGTCTCGTATCTGAATAAATAGTAGTTCTATCAAAAGATTGCATGTATCTGGATTATCACATAATATATTAATGATAAAAAAATCAATTATAAGTAGAAGTATCTCGATTAATGAAAAATTTGTCGAAAAAGAAAATATGAAACAGGTTAGTAATATGTTGTCGCAAAATTCATTTTTTTAAGCGCTAATTAGTTCACAGATTTCTAGTGGATTATAGTCAACTGTGTTCGCCGGTCGAATAAAGTCACCAAACTGTTCATCTACGTTATTGTCGGCATTAACTAGAGAAAAAAAGAATGTTTAAATATTTAAGATTGTCACACCCAATTGATCAAAGAGATGGCTTTTGTTGAATAAACAATTCGATTTTGTCACCTTTCGCAACTCAAATAAGAGATTTTATACTTACACTCCTTGTACAATTGGTCCAACTGTTCGTAGATATCAATGATATGGTATTGATCATTTGACAAAACTATTTTGAATAATTTTTTGTAGTAGGCTATAGCCTTTTGATTGTCATCATTGCTTTCAAGTTCTCGTCCAATCCCTAATAACCGTTCTGGATCACAAAGTGTACCAATAAACGGTCGAGCAATTTCAGTTAGGGTTTCCTTCAGCTTTTCTTTTGTGATTAATTGAAGTTTAACCGACGAGTAGCTTGATTCTGATTGTTCAACAGACTGAACAAAAAATGGAGTATACCATGAAAATAAGATCTCACGATCATCAGCTGTTACGGAACTTGGAGCGACATTAGCAAAAGGCATGGCAGTCTCTTTTCCGACATCTATATTAACAATTTCAATCAAAATATCGTCTTTGCTATCAGGATAACATTGATGTTGTAGGGACGTCGTTGTTGAGAGAAAGGAGTTAAATGACACAAGACCACCAACATTTCTACTTAAATCATTTAAGCTAATAAAGTCAGGTCGATTCCAGTAGCGAACAACTGTTTTATTCGTACGTGGATCTATACTTTGATCCCTGTGTAATGCTGCCAAATGATGATAAAGATCAACAATGTAAAAGCGAAAATCAAATATATTATCAACATTTATTGTTCCCAATGAGCGATTAAGTAAACGATAGATAAATGTGTCCCGTGTGTACCACCAAATAGGATTATCTGAAGAATAGTTCTCATGAAACTGAATGATTTCTCGTTTAGCTGTCGCATCATTAGAATATAATTCTGTGAATTTCAACAGTGTTTCATCAATTTCTTGCACTGATGGACGAGCCAAATTCAGAATTACACCGACCATGAGTTGATGCCAAAGAAAAACGAAGCTTTCTTTACTCACTGAATCCGGATGGCATGTGCGAATTGTAATTGCATTGCTTTCTGATCGTAAAGATTCCATTGATGATGAAACGGAATTGCAGCATGCTGTCGCTAATAGATTCTGCCTTAAGTCATCAAAGACTTCATTAATATCATCATCATCATTTTCATTTTCTTCGTTGATCGTATAAGTAACATCGATTTTAGGCAATTCATAAGCTAAATAGTGATTCAAAGTATGATTATCAACAGAGGGTGTGGGTGTGGTGTGGGTGTGGATGTGGATGTGGATGTGGATGTGTGGGTGGGTGTGAGTGTGGGGTGTGGGTGTATATCTCCATCCATACCCACCCAGCCACACCCACACCCAACACCCACACCGACACCCACATCCGCACCCACACCCCACACCCTCCGATTCGCTCTTTTTCTTTTCGAAAACAAGAAATTCCAGCGAGAAAATTATTGATAAATTAAGACAAATTTTATTCAGTGGCAGTGCATTGCTGTTAGTCTAACAAATTAATTTAGAAGGAAATTGAAAGACATACTTCATACTCAGATGACATATTGAATATATTTCTAACTATAAAGCATAGTTTTCCTAATATGAAAATTTTCGAAAAGGGGAAGGGGAGTGCGATCGCCCCATCGCACCTCCTGAATCTACCACTGTCCTTTATAGTATAAGAATCCAGTACCAACAAGGTTGCATCTAGGGGTGGCGCTTTATCTTTATTTCACTTTATCAAAGTAAAGTAAAGTAAAGCAAAATGCTTTACTTTACTGGGTAAAGTAAAGTAATCCTACTTTACTATACCGGATAAAGTAAAGTTGATCTACTTTACTTTATCGAGTAAAGTAAAGTGAAGTATCTCTAACTTAATCGAACAAGCAAAATATAGTAAAATAAGATTAAGAAAAGCATGTAGTTGATGATTATTCATTTCTTAGTTTATTATCATACATTAATCACACTTTAATATGTGAAAAGTTGCGTGAAATTACGGATGAGAAGCCCCAAATTGTTTAAACCTGATTTTATTACTTTGAAAGTCAGCATCGAACTCTCAATATTCTTCATAATTCTGTATTTCACATGGTCACAACTCAAATTTTGATACTTGAGGTCCCCTCAGGTATCGAAAAAACAATTCTCTGGCTATTCAATTATAAGTCTTTGTAATTCAATAGCATGAAATGTGCAGATTTATAAATATCTCATTTATTTTT